CTTCCTGCCTCTGTTGCTCGCTGCCCACCGCAAGGCATGGCGGCGGCGAGGGTGCGCTCACTCAAACCAGTGAGTGGCGCTGGGCAGGTTGTGCACCACTTTCTTTCGTCGTGCCACTTGATCACATCGCTCGCAGACACAGACACAGACATACACCACCCCATACAGAAGCTCCGTGTGTGCGTGTGACTGCAAGCACGACTGACCGATACAAGACAACCCACACTCGCTTCCATTCCCCTTTGTGTTTGCTGTGTTGAACAAGCTGCTTGGCCGGTCTTCATCAATTGGCAGAGCAGCAACCTGCACTCATGAAGGTCATGAAGGCTGCACTCATGGCCGCGTTTGTCGTGGCCTTATTCCTGCTGAATGGAGCCCTCTCCATGCCAATCACGCCGCCAGGTATGGCCGACACTCAACGCCCATCCTTCTCTCAATGTTGCTCGTTGCTTCTGCAGCCTCGTTGGGAGTGGCGTGCAGCGTGCTGCCTCTCTGCCAGTCTGTCCCACTTCCAGCTCGCGGCGACGTCTCGTTTCCACGCTATTCTGTCTCCACTCGCGTCTCCCTCACCCCCTAATCCTTTCTTGCTTCCTGCCTGGGTCTTGGTGTACGTGGGCACCGTCACAGGCCACCCCGCCCTGGCTTACTATCCGCTGAACGAGCAAACGGGCACCACCGCCCATGAAATCATTGCCGGCCGCCACGGTGGGTACGTGAACGGCCCCACGCTCGGTGAGAGCGGTGCCGTGATGGGGTCGTTGGCACCGCGCTTCACGCCCGCAGACAACTCGTACGCGGTTGTGCCGCACTCGAGCGACTACGAGCGCGGGGACATCACCATCTCGCTGTACTACCTGACGACGGAGACAAGCACGGGGATGGTGCAGGGCATCCTGAGCAAGACGGACCCATACCGGACACGGCACGGGGACGTGGAGGTGTACCTGGATGGGCCGCGGCTTGTAGTGCGCGCGTACGGGCGCGATGGGATGCTGCACGAGATCCGGAGCGAGCTTCCTGTTGGGGCGTTTAGGTGGCGGCACCTTGTGCTGTCGTACACGGCTGGACGCCTTGTTGTGTACCTGGACGGTGAGTCAGCGTGTGTGTGTGTATGTGTGTGTGTGTGTGTGCGCATGTGTGTGTGTGCATGTGTGTGTGTGTGTGTGTGCATGTGTGTGTGTGTGTGATTGTACATGTGGTGCATCCTATTTTGTGGTGCGGTGCTTGACATGTGACTTGCTCCTCTTTCCCTCAACTGACCTTTCTCCTCCATGCATACTTTTGATTTAGGTGCTGAGTTTGGCCGGATTGACGCTGATGTGTCGCTTGAGTGGAACCGGAATCACATGATCCTCGGCAACACACCGAGCAGGCAGCGCGCCATCATGGGTGGCATCGACAACGGTGAGAATTGCTTCAGTCAAAACTATGACACCTCACACATGCTACCTGCTTCCCCTATGCAATATGTGACTGCCGAATGACATGGATGCGCGGCTCATGTTGTGCTGATTGTGGCGTGTGGTCGACAGTGGGCGTGTTCTGGGGAGCACTCGACCCAATGCAGGTGCAGGCCGAGCTGGACGACCTTCAAGGCCAAACAACGACAACGACAACGACAACGACCATAACCACGACAACCACGACGACCACCACCACGACAACTACGACTACCACAACTACCACCACCACTACCACCACAACTATAACTACAACGCGAACCACAACAAGGACCACAACACGAACCACAACAAGAACCACAACAAGGACCACAACAAGAACCACGACAGCGACCACCACCACAACAACAACAACAACAACAACAGCGACGACGACGACGACGCTCGGCTGTCCGCCCTCTGGCATCTTCCAGTACTACCGCATGGATGAGCAGCGTGGCACGGTTGTGCGTGGTGCCATAGGGTCAGCTGGCCACGGCGGGTACGTGAACGGCCCCACGCTCGGTGAGAGCGGTGCCGTGATGGGGTCGTTGGCACCGCGCTTCACGCCCGCAGACAACTCGTACGCGGTTGTGCCGCACTCGAGCGACTACGAGCGCGGGGACATCACCATCTCGCTGTACTACCTGACGACGGAGACAAGCACGGGGATGGTGCAGGGCATCCTGAGCAAGACGGACCCGTACCGGACACGGCACGGGGACGTGGAGGTGTACCTGGATGGGCCGCGGCTTGTAGTGCGCGCGTACGGGCGCGATGGGATGCTGCACGAGATCCGGAGCGAGCTTCCTGTTGGGGCGTTTAGGTGGCGGCACCTTGTGCTGTCGTACACGGCTGGACGCCTTGTTGTGTACCTGGACGGTGAGTCAGTGTGTGCGCATGTGTGTGTGTGTGTGCATGTGTGTGTGTGTGTGTGCATGTGTGTGTGTGTGTGTGATTGTACATGTGGTACATCCTATTTTGTGGTGCGGTGCTTGACATGTGACTTGCTCCTCTTTCCCTCAACTGACCTTTCTCCTCCATGCATACTTTTGATTTAGGTGCTGAGTTTGGCCGGATTGACGCTGATGTGTCGCTTGAGTGGAACCGGAATCACATGATCCTCGGCAACACACCGAGCAGGCAGCGCGCCATCATGGGTGGCATCGACAACGGTAATCGTGCATGCGGATTGTTGAGGTGGTGCTCGACGGCTTGGCGGCGAGGGTGTTTGAGCAGTCTCTGCCTGTCACTGTCCAGTTGTGAGTGGTGTTAGATGTCACGCTAACGTTGTGCACTACTGCTGTGGCTGGTGCAGTTGGCATTCTGTGTGGGACGTATGATGCTGCTGGAGCACTGGCTGCATTGGACGGCGCACCTGTGGCCACAACAACGACCACAACCACAACAACGACCACAACCACAACCACAACTACGACGACCACCACGACCACGACGACGACCACCACGACGATTCGAACAACCACCCGCCCAACAACGACGATGACGCGAACCCGATCCGTTACGCGCACGACAACAACACGACCTCGAACGACCACCGTCGCGACTCGTCCTCCCACCACAACTCGAACGACCACGAGGACCACTACCACCACGACAACTACCACAACCACAACCACCACGACGACGACAACAACAACGACGACGACGACGACGACGACTACAACTACTTCGACAACCACGGCGTGCCAGCCTGCTGTCTGCAACTGCCGCCCCGAGGCCATTCTCGAGTACTACAACTACGACGGCTGCACGCGGTGCCGGTGTTTGCCAAGCGCGCTGCTCACGATCCACGTCGAGGCAGCCAATGGCTCTCCACTCAGCGGTTACGGTGTTGAGGTGAGCGGGCGTACACCCCGGTCTGGCATGACAGACAGCAGCGGCAGCGTCACGTTCCGCGTGGTTCTCGGCGAAGATTACTCCGTTGTCGTTCGTCGGCCCAATGACGACGTGCAGGCAATGGAGGACGTGTATGTGAATGAGGCGATGGAACTGCGAGAATACATTGTTGCAACCACCACGACTACAACTACCACGACTACAACAACCACAACAACAACCACAACAACAACCACAACAACTACAACAACCACAACAACTACAGTCACGACAACCACGACAACGACGACAACGACGACAAGCAGCAGCACGACTGCCTCTGGTGACAATAGCGGTGACACGACCACGACAACAACAAGCACAACTTCAACAACATCCACCACAACAACTTCCACAACTGAGCCGTCCACCTTCACAACCACCACGACAACCACGACAACCACGACAACGACAACCACCACCACGACTGCAACCACTACCACCACTACAACCACACTGCCGCCACCGCCTTGCTTGGATCACGCGGCACAGGACATTGTGCTTCTGCTCGATTCATCATCCAGGTGCGCGCCGTGTCCGATTCAACTTTGATTGAAGGAGTGTTTGAAAGCGCTTGCTTGTGCCCACTCGTGTTGCTACCTCTCACATCACACATATGCACGCACACGCGCACAACAGCCTTGGATTTAGTGGGTGGCAAGACGTGCAGGCGTTTGGCGCCAACTTTGCGCGCAGCCTTGACATTGACGATAACCGTGGACGGTGCGTGTTGGTGTTTGAGCTGTGATTGTTTCCGAGGATGTTGACGTGATGCTTCTCGTCTTTTCTTGCTGCTTGTCCGATTGCTCCGACCCCCCGCGAGCCACACACACACACACACACACACACACACACACACACACACACACACACACACACTCTCTCTCTCTCTCTCTCTCTCTCTCTCTCTTCGCTCTCTCG